CATGACAGAGCATCTCCTGGCAGTTTAAGCAAATTTCTGAAATTTGGTCAGTCTGAATGGATATGTTAGGACCAATGGTCCCTCTGTTTTTTTCCTTCTATGTGCAGAATAAATTTTCTTACGTTAACTGAGACATATGCAGATGTGCACCACCAGTAGAAATACATGCTGCTGGCTGAGAGCGCTCTGTTAATCAGCTGGGCAGCATTTGCATCCCTCCTGGGTGGCCACCTAAGCGCTAGCTTATAGGGAACACTGCAGTACTGACTCATGTCTGAAGAATAAAACCAGCTCTCTCACTTTGGGTCTTATTGAATTCAGTTAAAAGACATGGTCATTAGAATATCTAGCATAAAGAAGAATGATCTACTTGACTAACATTTCACAAACTTCATCTGTGTAGGTGACCTTGGGGAGGTAAGAGGGGCAGATTTGAAAACGTGTGTGCACAATAAAATATTCAGGTAGAAAAGAGTCAAATAACCATTGATTAATAAGGGGCATGATCTAAAGAAGTGGATACTTTATATAGCCTGATGATTTTTGTGGTCGATAAGTCAGGAGGGCTTGTATCAACTTGTTCCAGTATGTTCACTGATTCTGAAGGCGTGAGAACCTCTCAGAGTCAAGTTCTCATGATTTTATAGGATGTGTTATGGCAGAGATCTAAAAACTGATGATTTCATCATGAGCTATGAGCATCATTATCAAAATGATGACTGTTGCAAAACCATACTGTATCTATTGTGTTACCCGAAACTACAGGAATCCTAATTGTGAGTGACTAGTGTAATTTTGCTATTTTTCTCAGCTTTACTTACAGAAAAGGTTGAATTAGAAGTATTAAAATGTTAGATTGAGGAAAATAATTACTGGTAACTACTTGCTGTTGATATTTTATTTGAAGTATCAAGATGTTTTAAACATTTCTTAAATCAGACACTTGATTAATAGAAAATTATGTGCAAGAAATTAATACTGAAACCTGAAGGCAAAGCTAGAAAATTGCTGCTTATTTGAACAGGTACAGTAATTCTAGAAAAATGTTCTTGTATTACATATATCTTGTGTTTTCTGCTATCATAGAAATGTAAGTATTTACTGTTTTTGGTTGAATTGTAATCTTAAAGGCAGCTTAAATAAATTCAACAATACTTTATGGGAGGGAAAGCTACATTTAGATTTTGCTATTAAGTATGTGATTTAAATAAATAGCTTTACAACTATTTAAATAACTAGAAGCAAATTACTGAATGGTAATATTTAATATATTTCAGTAAATAAGGAAAAAATTAAAAGTTTCTGTTTTCTTTTCCCCCCGGCATATATTCTAGTTGTCTCAGCATGATGTTAGTAAAATACATGCCAGCATGCTAGTATCAGTCATTTTGTTAGAATTAAGATTCTATGCATAGAAAACACATTTCCTAACAAATGAAATTTAGCTAGAATTTCTGTGAAATGTGCAAGCATTGCTCTTGCTAAAATAAGAAATGGAACACAAAATTGGGTGATTTTGCCCTTGTTTTGACTGAAATAAAGCTTGTTTCATTTTGACTAATGTATAACTAAAGCAGAGAGCCTATAATAGACTTGGTCAGCTCAGTTTGGACTTGTTAGTCTTTGTGCTTTCTTGAAAGTACCAGAACTAATTATGCTTCAAGAGAGTGTTGTCAAAACAAACTATCTAGTGCATGCATACTTGAGCAGTTTACATCAACAGTTTGAGTTTGTATTTGAATTTCAGATGACAGTATTTATTATAAAGAGATTATTTTTCTTGTTAAATTTCCTTTCTGATTAATAATGTAAATTCAATATTTTCTTCTTTGTGTGTTTTCCCTGTTGAGTAGGAATAATTTGAATAATATTTTAACTTAATCATATAAATGGATTGCTGTACCTTTCAAAGCTAAAAATTCAGATTTTAGGACTTAGCAATGTCTTCACAATGTGTATATAAAAGGCGAGTACTATAAAAGCTTTATATATATATTTTTAAAAGTTTCTTTTATCCTAATGTGATTTTTACTCAACCAGAGTGATACCAGTCGTGCTTAAAGAAGAAGTTGCCCTGAAATCTCATGCAATAAATAAATAAGTTGAGGGTCATTTTAAGATTTTCACCCCTCTTAATTTTAGGCTATTGTTGTCTCTATGTTTCCTCCTTACTAGCAGTGCTTTCCAGAGAAGGACTAGCGAAACCTCTTCTGGTTGAAAATGCCAACAGTAAAATGCTTCTGGTTCCAGTAAAGGCTGAGAAATCTTGTTCCATTCTTTAAGTAAAACCCAGCAATATTTGCCGGAGAATATATTGATTAATTTAAAATAATTATTTAATCACAAAATGAATAGAGCTAGGAAATAATATTAAATGGTCTAAAATGGCTGTAAATTTTTAAAGTTGATGTATGTGCAATACATGAAAATTATTTACCTCATAACTGTACTATATGTCATTTTGTGTGCTGGGGAAATTAAAAATTAAACTTAATATTAGAATAGCATTTTCAATGATCTCATGAGGAAAAGTTAGTTTTTCCTTAGAATCTGTGTAACATACACCTATAGTATCTAAAATTTATCATAATCTTCAGTCAGTCATAATTTTCAAGTAACACTTATAGATATTTTTATTTCATTACTGCAGTTACCTATCTTTTAAAATTCACAGTGTTGTATATAATAATTTTTAATGGAAAATACATTTGGTTACTGCTTGGTGAAACTAAAACAGAAGTGTTCATTGGCCTTTTATAAATAACTTACTTATGGTAGGCCTTTTAAGGTAGACCAGGGGTAATCAATTATTTTTGGTCACATTGCAATAATGATAATAAGTAAATATATTTTTTATGTCTATTTTGATGGATTTGGCCTATGGTCTACCTGTTCAGTACCCTGGACTAGACTGTCATTTTGCATAACAGCCCCTTGCCTTACCCCTCATCTCTAGAAGGATGTCATTTTTATGGCCACATGTTTTCTTTTAAAGAGACAAAGCTGTTACCAGTCTCTTATTTTCATACTATGCTAGCAAAACCTACAAGAAAGAATATTGTAAATGTCACTGTACATATAAAGTTGGGATGGGGGTGCTAAGTGGTCAAAGTTAATTAAAAAACCTAATCTACCAAACAGGTAGTTCCAGAATTGCTTTTATTGCAAACAGTGGTGGTAATTATAATTTTTCTTTATAGAACATTGTATGACAGGTTGTGCAACAGTTTGTCATATGCATTATAGCTATATGTACTTGATTGTTGTTGCATTATTCCTTTTGCTGATGTTGATTTTACTGACCAAGAGTACTCATTGGGGTGGAACATGAAGAGCATGCTATAATTAAAATATTGTGATGTGGCATTATTGCATAACTCAAGGACATGCCATTGTCACCTAACTTGTGTGTTGCAAGAACAAGATTTGTGAGTTTTATTCCAGTAGAGATTTTCCAGTGATTAACTGCCACTCCCTCCTAGACTTTCAGATCTTTTTCAACTGAAAATTAAATGTTAGCACAATTCTAAGATGGTTGGAAGGAAACATCGGGAAGAGGGGTGGGTTGGTGAATAAATGCAATAAAGCATAGGAGGTTGGAGAGAGAAGGATTTAAAGCTGCATGAATAGCTCATCCAGGAAGCTCAATATATAGTACCCCAAATCTGTGGTGTAAATTCAAGATTAATAGTTTCGAACTTCAATTAATCAAAAACAAAGAGAACTGAGCTCAGTCGTCATTATAAATCAGTAATGCACATTTAAATAATTGTACACAATATAACCACTTGAGTTTTAACTAAATTATGATGCATTTTAATTCACCAAAGAGACGATTGAGAGTTAATAAAATGTAATTTTTTTTGTATGCTGTGTAGAATATACCTCCTAGAAGTGTAAAGAAAAAGTGCTCAAGATCTTATTTCTTACCAATTTTTAGATTGGTAAGCTATTTTATAGTTATAAAAAAATCAGAATATCTGGCGACTAAAGATTTTTGTTGCCCCACATTATACCACGCTAAGGATGGTTAAT